AGAGATAGAGAGAGGGAGAGGGAGGGAGGGAGGGAGAGAGGGAGGGAGAGAAAGAGAGAGGGAGAGAGAGAGAGAAAAAGAGATAGACAGAGAGAGAGTGAGAGAGAGAGAGAGAGAGAGAGAGAGAGAGAGAGAGAGAGAGAGAGAGATAAAACCCTCCCATTGTGGAACGAAGGGTGAGCTTTCTGCACCAAAAGGAACGCTGAACAATCTTCAATTCTGCTCGATAACGACCACATAGTTACCCAGAAACGGTGATCACCATCAACACCTTGACAGGTTACCATCAGCCAAACACTCGATTACATTGACATACGACCCTTGCTCTAGTAAGAGTTTTAAGGCACTTGCAACACAAAAAGGTTATATAAGTTAATACAAGTGCCGAAGATTAGAGGTGTTACAAGAGAGTAACAAACGCAAAAAAGAAGGAGGAGAAATTGGGACGGTAAATGTTTGCTAGGAAAGAAGGAGCAAACCACACCAGACCAGAGCACCCGCCAACCACTCACTTTCGACCTTGTTACTGACCGCCGTAGGTATCAAAGCAGGGGTGTCCTATTCATAACATTATCATCTGGTTGGAAGATAGGCAAAGACTTGGAGTAGATCAGATAGATACGCTGGTCCGTGTTAACGCCGAAGTGATTAACGCAACTCTTCTTTTTTAGTTTTAGTAGAGGTTTTACAGCGCTCGCAACTGCATAAGGTCATATGAGCGCCAGAAAATTAGAGGTGTTACAAGAGAGTAACAAACATAAAAAAAGAAGAAGAGGAGATAAGGACGATAGATGTTTGATAAAAAGAAGAGAAGCAAACCACACCAGAGCACATGCCAACCACCCACCACAGCTCTTCGACTGCAGGTTGGTGTACTTTCTTTTGTTGCTGTTGTTTTTTTTTACCAACTGCACACAGCCAATTTAGATCAAATTCAGTCAGGGCCAGATAGATTTCCCTTCATAAATGAGGTAAAAGTTACCATTTTGGCACCATACGACCGAGTTCAACTATATTCGACCGTGACCTTCATATCAAACATGTTTGGGTTTTTTTCAAGGCCGCGAGGCGAATCGGTCGTAATGTTTTTGTTCCAGTAAGAGTTCTACGGCACTTGCAACACAATAAGGTCATATAAGTGCCGAAGATTACAGGTGTTACAAGAGAGTAACAAACATAAAAAGGAGGAGAAGAGATCAGGACGATAGATGTTCGATAGGAAAGAAGGAGAAGAGATCAGGACGATAGATGTTCGATAGGAAAGAAGGAGAAGAGATCAGGACGATAGATGTTCGATAGGAAAGAAGGAGGAGAGATGAGGACGATAGATGTTCGATAGGAAAGAAGGAGGAGAGATGAGGACGATAGATGTTCGATAGGAAAGAAGGAGGAGAGATGAGGACGATAGGTGTTCGATAGGAAAGAAGGAGGAGAGATGAGGACGATAGATGTTTGATAGGAAAGAAGGAGCAAACCACACAATTTAAACCCCCCCCCCCCCTCCATTAAGGCAAACCTGGCTGGCCAGGACGGAATCAAATTATTAACCTGATAGGCAGATAAATGTGCATTTCTCACGTGCAGTCGAGCACTTTAAAGTGGTACAAAGTACACTTTGGTTTTGTTTTTCTTTTTTTTTTTCTTTTAAGGAAAATATTCACTACACTTGCAACGCATATAGGCCACATTAGCACCAATCAAAGCTATAGAGGTGTTACTAGAGAGTAACATACAAAGAAAAGGAGGAGCTAATAATATAATGATGACAGATGTTTGATAACTTTTAATTTTAGTAAGAGTTTTACGGCACTTGCTGCAACGCTATAAAATCATATACGTGCCGAAGATTCGATGTGTTACAAGAGAGTAACATACAAAGAAAAGGGGGAGATAATAATATAAGGAAGACAGATGTTTGACTAGTTTTAGTTTTAGGAAGAGTTCTACGGCACTTGCAACACTATAAAGTCATATTAGTGCCGAAGATTAGATGTGTTGCAAGAGAGTAACAAACATAAAAAAGAAGGAGGAGAGATCAGGACGATAGGTGTTTGATAGGAGCAAACCACACCATTGTTATTGGGGGTGATTGGGGTGAGCGGGTGGGGCATAAGTTGTGGCTTCTATCAATACTTTTACTAAAGGTAAAAAAGACAAAAAGGAATTAATAATAAACTTTAGAGTAAAAAAAGACGAATTGCAACCACTATTTACTAAAGATGAGGAGCTGGAGGTGGTAAACTCTTACAAGTATCATTATAAACGACCCATCACACCCCCTTCCCACACAAGTTGTCAGATGACGCAGCGGAAGATAACTACCCCAAAAACAAACAAAAAAAGACATATTATAGAAGAAGTTCTTTACCATCTAGCATAAGGCTATTGTCAGAGTAACCACAGATGTTTATAGCTCTTTAGAGTATGTATCTATATAACTCCAATGGGCTTGCAATTACATTCCTGCATGTGGTTGAATGATGCACCTGATGTGATATTTCTCTTTTCAAATTGAATTTTAATGAGAGTAATAGATAATTAAATTTTTTTAATGTATACATGCATATGTTTTTACGATCCTGTACAGCCAAGAAAAATTTCCCTTTGGGATAATAAAGTATCGTCTTAATCTTAGATAGGGTTCGTTGATTTTCATCTCGTGTATAAAAATATCAGTGCTCGTCGCTTTGCTATATTATATGCAGTTTGTTATCGACATGTCTTCACTTTCTTAATCTATTTATAATTTGTCATAAATCTGTTTGGCCTTTTCTTCTTAAGCTGCTTTCACGGTCCATGATCTTCCCTTTTCAAGGAGGGCGAGAGAGTGGGGTCAGTGAGAAAGAACGGGTGTTTGGGAAAGACCAGGAGATCAGCGAGGAGGGGGGG